GTCTTCTTGTTCGAATCTGTGGAGGATGCACAAAGAGCATCTGACAAATTAGCAAGTTGTGTCGCTCCGTTCGGCATATGCTTTGCACCTTCAAGTGCAAAGTGATGCTGCAAGAATGCATGTCGCCGAGTTCTGTTCTGAAACTAGACGGTCAGGAATTAGCTGAATTTGACTGCTTCTCGTACTTAGGTAGCTGCGTGACCAACGACGGTAGCGCATCGAAGTAGATAACCGTCCGCATTTCCAAGGCTCGAGCAGCGTACGGAGGACTAAAACACCTGTGGTGGCGACGGGACGTGTCACTAAAGTTGAAAAGTTGCGTATACTGCACCACTGTACGATCAGTTCTACTTTACGGTTGTGACCTTGAATTTGCGGGTAGAAGACACCCGTCGTTTTACAGTGTTCGACAATCCATGTTTACGTAGTCTGGCCCAGGATGGATGGAGTGAGCTCGTTAGTAACTTGGAAGCAAGTCGTCGGGTGTTTGGGAATACTCGCTATCTCATCGAATCCAGCTCAGTAGGCTCCGTTGGTTAGGACACGTTTTACGTATGTCCGACGGTCGCCTACCGCAGCGCGCTTTGTTTTCAGTGGCTGTTGCAGGCTGGAGAAAGCCACGTAGAGGCCAGCAGATGACGTGGAGGTAAAGTATAAAGAAATACACAGAGCGATAAGGTAGATTAGGTGTCTCTCATCTTCCCGGTTGGGGTCCAAAAGACTCTGAAACCGCATGGTTGGAGACACTGAAGGTCGTGGCTGCGAACCGACAGCAATGGCAATCGTGTTGTCACTTCTTATCAGACCAGAATTCTTGAACTAGTATGCCCAGTTGAACTGTGTACTCTGTGTGTTGACCGTTCGCTTTCTTTTCCCGTCCCTAAAAGTAGGCCCAATCCCTGTCCTCCTTACACATTCTCACTTATCTTGTATGCATTATGAGTTTGGCAGCGATCAGTGAAGTTCGCTTCACTGTATTTCGCTGTAAAATTATGATGGTGATGATGACGGTTTGCATGTCAAAGTTGCCTGCGTTTAAATAATTTTCCCGATGTTGTAAAATCAAGTCGCTGAGTCTACGTGTTAATTACTGACAGAATAATCGATTCCTAAATCAAATTCCATAGATGAAATAAGCTATTTTAATGATTTTCTAACTGTTGTCTCGGTACGTCCACCCAAACCATTATGCTTGTACTTTACTGGTCTGTTTTTTGGTGAAGGTTCTCAATCGCATACGCGATTTTCTCAATGAGGAAGACTCAGGAGGCTGCAATTGGCACAGTTTACCAAGCAATATTACGGGAAACGCTGCCGCCACTCCCGTTCGAGACTCATCCAGCAACAGTGCGGCGAACGACATTCTTAACTTGGAAACCTGTTCCCATTTCCATCGTGTTTGGTCCGCCATACAATTGGTGTTTTGTACTCCTTTTGGTCAATACGAATACACCGTGGAGGAGATGTTTGGTGAAGGACTGAATTGGGCCGGTTGTGCGATCATTCTACTTCTCGGTCAGCAACGTCGTTTTGAGATTTTGGATTTTGGCGGTCATCTCTTACGATTACAACGGGCGGATAAAAAGGATATGACACCGGAAGGAGTGGTAAGTACGGTTTTCCTTATGTCATATTCCGGTGAATATGGGAAGAACGATTGCATTCGTCATGCTAATCGGGATTGTGTCAGGCATAAACGCAATACTATACATCCTGATCGTTTTTATTCGCATCATACCTCTTGTACGAGCATTTATTGCCCAAGTGTCAATCTCGGTCGGGCACGGTAGAAATCGATGCCATGGTAACCGACTAAATATGGTATCCATCGTTCAATAATATTGATCGCTTTTACCCAACATGATTTATTCGGCTCAGCCATTCTAGTATTTTACCAGATCCGTTTTGGCTCCCTGTCCAGCGATTACACATTGAACAAACAGTTTGCGTGGTTCGTCGCAATCCTGTTATTCGTACCTTTCCCACCCGTGCGTATATATCGTCTCAACATGGTTGATCTATTGTTCAGTTCACCTCCATGTATTGTTGTGAACGCGTTGATATCGATACATTGACAGACTGGGTCGATCTTTTAACACCACTCTTCTGCACTGCCTCAACACGCGGTCGGATTTTGACGGATACAAAGTATTTGATTTATACACCAGAGATGATCGGATATGCTGAAATTCTGTCTGCTACAGACACAGAACCCTTCGTAACTAATAGCTGTTATACTGCCGCAACAACCCATAACGATTCACGTCAAACTCCGCTCAAATAGCACTGCACTGAACACCGGACTCTATTTCTCCTAGAAAAATATTCACTCCACTATTCTAACGTGGTTTGTATTGTATTGTATTCAAGCTTTAGCGAGTTATACACACAAAAAATAGACCGCCGTTACAATTCTGGTAAAAACAGCTGAAAAGGTGGGATGTGAAGCGTACACAAATATGAGTTAATCACTAAATGCATTAGAAAGCTCAGAACAAACACTTTCCTTGTCGGTCAGTATCCGGCAAATTGTCTAGCTCGAAAATTACTTTCCGTGGTCGATTAAAAACCATCGCATACTGCGGACTGAACTTTGATCGGCAGCAAATGTTGTACTAATGTAACGCGACCAAGCATTTGGCTGAACCTCAACCATGTGGTTTAGAAACCGTTGGTGACTTTTAGTCACTTACAAGTGTCAATTGTTACACCTTTTTCTTAACCTTCTTTGAGAATGTCGAACACAGATAGCATTTCCACTTACCGAATAGTATCGTGTAACGATTCAGTTGTTTGCCACTGATGGTTTGCCCCACTTTGGCAGATTTGAAGTTTGTATGGCGATTGTGAAAAATTCAGTAGCCTTGGTGGGATTCGAACCCACGCATGGACGCCGCCCACACTTGGTGTGCGCACGCCCTACCAGCTGAGCTACGAAACCACACCGACAGTTCTGATCTTCTCACATTCGAATGCGTGGGTTCAAATCCCACCGAGGCTACTGAACCTTTCACAATCGTCATATTAATCTGTTTAAATGAACCTGATTTGAAGCTTATACTATATAGGTAAATCAATATGTTATGTCATTGCATTTGTTGTTTGAGTTACATTCATAAAGTTGGACGTCTTATCTAAACTTAACAACTCAGTGGTAATATATCGAAAAAGGGTTTCTGCTTTTTTTCTCACATCAAATCCACTGGGAATTAAGTCCTCGTTCAACGCCTTTCACAATTGGACGATGCGGCTTACCTTGTCAGATATGTTTTTATTGTCCTTTCATCATAACAAATAATGGTGGCGGTGTTCTCCCATGTGATTCATTTGGCTAAATGCATATTGTTTTTACATACTGTTCTTGTTGGTTGTTGAGGGCGAAAATGCTGTATCCGTTTCTCTAGGTCCTATATGCAACGCTAGAATAGATGCCGAGATCACACTGCACGTACTCCATAGACTGCTGGATCTCACTGGACCTGGTAAACTATAGTTTCTTTTAATGGTTTCGCTCGTCATTGGCGGTTCCTAATCGTGCTTGATAGAAGATAGCAAACGCCTTCATGATGCAGCGTCCGTGCCGTACATAGCCTGTGGCTAAGACTTAAAAAGCTTCTCCCACCTCCCTCTTATGCCTGGTCAAAATTCGAACATTATAGTAGTCATATGGCTGTATTCGCTGCGCAGTTTTCACAATCAACGTTTACATCGAAGCAGCGCAGGCCCAAAACTATGGATCCACACGTTATCCACTCAGCCCACCTCAGTCCAATAATGGGGACCAAAGTACAGTCGTGTCTACCGAGCCCTGCCTGCCTGCCAATGGATCGATGCAAGTCCCCCAAACATCTGTCTGACGGCAGGTGTGACTGCCGTGCATTCAGGCGCTGAGTCACGTGTCTTGTCCTTCTGTCATTTCCGGTGCATTCATTGTTTCATTCGATCCGTGCGCGGGTCGTCGTCTTGACTCGCCCATATTGTCCTATATCTATGGGGTGCGTCTGTCCGATTCAGCTGGATTTGCCGGTCAATGCACCCCGCATTTTTCGTCCTCATCTCTACCTGTTGCGAATTCCATCGTGCGATCGTACATGGAACGCGTGGGTTCCCATCCGATGTAATGCGCTTAATCCAACCCTGTTTTGGCTTGATCACACTCCGTGCACTGAACGTGCGTACTTGCTATACTATACTGCATTGTTCTCGCGAATTCCACTTCCTGATGTCCTCCACCAATGACGATTAAAATTTGTAGTGTGCGTTTGAGAAACATCTGATCCGAGTTATTGAAAAAACTGTCATCAAACCGATGCGTCCATTGTTGTTAATGCATTCGAGAGTAGCGTTTCGCCATATCACCTCAGATGGCCGTTGCTTTTGTATTGCATGTTTATGAATGACGATTAGCCCTTGAGTTTTCGGTGGGGTGGTAGTCACAGTATTCGACCGGTTGAAGTTGCTATTACTGGCATGCACCGATCCTCAAGATTACCATTTCTACTCTACTTTGGTGGTGGCTGCGGTCTTTGAGTTCAATGCCACTTTGAATCTATTCGGGCTCAGCGTGGTTTTCTACTCCAAGTCACAGGACTTGAGCGAGCAATAGGTCTGCTTGAAAATGCAACTGTTCCTCATACATGGGTATGTGTTACCCAAAGCGTGCGCTATGCGTCTGTTCTTTTTAACTGGCTCGTACTGGATGATCGAATGACTCTTTTCACATTCGAGTGCTTCTTTTCAACAGCTTTCCATAAACACACCTCTCTTCTCGACCTTTTCAGTTTCTCGGTTCGGCTGAATAGTTTTCAAGTGGATATCCAGCATAATGCATTCTGTCAGGCCTATTCACTGTTAGCATTTTTTTTTTCAGCAACCAATCACAAAGCGAAGTTCATGGTTGGACCGAACAGCTCTCATCCGCTCTGCGCGCCTATCGACCGGCTCACAAGACCAGCTGGCAATTGCATGCGTGCCTTTTCGGCATGTTAACAGTTAGTCACTGACGGGTAGCCGCTTTTGTCCTATCAAACATGGCGAGCTATTTGACTTACGTTGTCTATTTGACTTCGCGTATCGTGGGAATGTGCGTGTATCGTATCATTTGGATAGCTCGGTGCAGCCGAGGGTCCATGGGGGTCAAGCTTAGACGCCAGGGCATTGACTGACCGAGCGAAATCCTGACAACCTTGTCTATCTATTTCACTGATCATTGTTTATCTGAATGATGAAAAAAATGAGATGCATTTCGTTACATAATACTTCTCCACATGGTGTCCATTTTGCGTGTGCCTGTGCACGTTGATTATGTTCGATTCTCCCACTTGTTTCTCTTATGCATAGACCCCGAATATCGTACGGTCTTGTATGTGTTCACCATCCCACCACCGTCGTCGGAGGCTCCCGGAGGACCAGGGACTTCCCACTGTGCTTTCTATTCTGTGTTTGCTCCGTTTTGTAACTGGCTTCACGTATAGTACACTTATATTTTGGGTCGTTTTTACGAAAAGTAGATGCGCACATCAGTGGAATAGATCAACTTCGGTAAGGTTAAAACATCCTGGTCGGACAATATCAGACAATCATCCTATAAAAAGGTTTGTTAGTTCTCAATCAGTTTATCAGAAAGAATGCTGTATTGTAATTTCTTCGT